ACATGTACCATATATATAATATAATAAAATATAACCCATCTTGATATCTTAATTAATCTTACCTATTTACATACACACACACATACGCACACACACACGCATACAACATTCATACACAGAAAATACGAACCTCGATAACACCTAAATTACTTCTCTGCCTCCCCCCCCCTACCCTCCTACCCCCTACTCCTCCCGCCCCTTCATAAAAGTGAAAAGTCGAATATAAAACCAGCACGCCCACCCGCCCTCAGCCGCAGGACAACGCGCCACGCCCCCCCCCCCCCCGCCCGCCCACCCTCAGCGCCACCACCTCGAGGGCGTTGACGTGTCTCTCGCGACTGTTGCCTCGTAAAACTCACTTACGGCCGCCAAATCTACTTTATTCCGCACGGTCGCCATGCCCCCCCTCCCCCTCCTCCCTTCATTCTACCCTCCTCTTCTACCCTAGCCCTCCACTCCTCTCTCCTTCTCTCCCTTACCCTTCCTCCCTCCTTCCCTATCCCCCTTTATTCCATTCTACCCTTCCCCTTCAACTTTCAACCCTTTCTCCCCTTACTCTACCCTCCACTTCTACCTTAATCCTCCACTACCCTCCCCCCTCGCCCCCTTTCCCTTCCTTCCACTCTACCCTCTAAAACCAACCCTAGCCCTCCACTCTCCCCTCCCCCTTCTCCCTTTTCTACCCCCCTCACTCCTCTCCCTTTTACCCCCCCCCCCCCGTTCACCGCCACTCAGCTACAATTACAAAAACTTTTATATTCTCCTGATAAAAAAAAAATTAACGTAAAGGTCTAGATAGTAATAGTATTATGTGCGATAAATAAACTAGACGAAAGTAAGATGATAAAAAGAAAACAACAAAAGACGAGAGAAAAAAATAAATAAATAAAAATAAAAAACTAACAATACACGCTGCTCTCCCATCATCTACTAGCCCCCCCCCGTCCCCACATCTCCCAACCCCCCCAACCACTCACACGAAAAAAAATAATGAACATAATAAAAAAAAAACATCAATGTATATCAAAAGGCCATCACAAACGTTCGAAGAAACGTTTATTCCGTCAGCTGTTGTCAACACCTCCTCCTTTCACCCTCCACCTACCTTCCCCCCCCTTAAACTATTCTCACTCTGGGTTGGTCTAACATTTCCACGCCCGTAAGTCGTCGCGCCCATACCTAGCCACCCAGCGCTCACGCAACTAGAAATGACCAATACGAGGACTGTCATGTTGGTGAGCATGTTCATGTGCACATGTCAGCATAGTGATGATTGATGGCTGACTGTGATTATAAATACGATAATGGAGATGATGATTATGAATAATATAATATCATCAAAACATATATGACACTGATAATAAAACTATCTATCAATAATATCCCTCGGATTACGGATTGTGAAGACACAAAAAACAAAAAACGAACAGTAAATACATAAGTATATAAATACATGTACCCATCTACCTACTTCCCTCTTATCTATCCATCTACCTATTATCTACTTATATGTATAAGTATATGCACGTACATATAAACATACAAACACTTACACATGCATATATACCTCTAAACAAACACAGAACATCAAAAGCAAATGGTATTCCGCCGCCGCCATAGCCACACATCCATACATTTCGTCTGATTGACAACTTAATTTCGGGCGGAGCTAGAAGGAGGCGGAAGGTGGCCGGGAAGGAGGCTCTGGAGGCGAAGGTAGGCCTGTGTGTGTCAGGACAGGGACGCGGCGCCACGTACACAGCCGCTCAGGTGCACCCACAGACTTACACATGAATACTTGGTGGATACACAAGAATATATAAACATACAAGTTACTCCTAACACACAGTCATGGACATACACACATAAATATAGTACAAACACCAATCTGCATACATACAAAAAATCAATAAATAAAAATCATACACACATACGTACACAAACAAAGTACAAAAAAACATACACGTGCACACAATCACGCCCACACAATCACTTCAACCCGAACTATCAAAAAGACCGAAAACACAGAGTCTTAAATAGAAATCCCAAACTGTTTCCGAGATCAAGTCAAATCCCCTTCCCCCCCCCCTCTTCCCCTTACAGCCCTCGCCCCCCCTCTTCCCCCTACCCCTCGCCCCCACCTTCCCCTCCTACCGTCCCTCTCGACCCCCATTCCCCCTTACACCCCCTTCGCCCCCTGCACTCTCCCCCTTACCCACCCCCATCGCCCCCCACCTTCCACCCTTACCACCTCTCCTCGCCCCTGCCCCCTCCCCCTGCACCCCTCGCCCCCTTCCCCCCAATCTTTTTATACGAGACAACCGACAATCTCGAGCACACTTCCTCCGAGAGAGAGTCACAATTACATGGCCTTTCTACTCTTCCGTGTAGCACCCCTCTCCCTCCCTCCCACTTCCTACCCCTCTCGTATCTACCCCATCCTTGCTCCCTCTTCTCCTACCCTAACCTCACTCCCCTACCCTGGCCCTGTCCTCTCGCCCCCCCCCCCACCCCTCCCCATTCCTTAACCTCCTTACATTCTCTTCTCCTACTCTCTCTCCCTACCCATCCTCCCTTACTCTTGCTCTCATTTACTCTCTTTTTCCCTACCCCCT